GATTCTACTTGTTCTTGTCTTTAGCAATTTCAGGTGATAATGAACATAAGGAAATGCTGACTCCCAACGGGGACATTGTCTTGCCTCTTGTTCCCACTCACGTGTAATTTGGATTCTACATATGCAGGCGGAATCACCGAGTTGACTTCTTTGACCTATAGAGTGAGTCCTGTCACTCCTCTCTTCTGGGCATAACCTCCCAATAACAATAACCCTCCCCAAAGAAAAACAGCCCTTTAATTAGTGAATGAACAATGTGAAGTTGTTGTTTAAAGTAGATACATAGGTACATACATGACTATAAAAAACCCCCAGGAAGAATATTTACAACAAAAAGAAAGTGCTATCATTTTAATTAACAAGTGACACTTGATAGAAAATAAACCAAAATTGAAATAGTTACCAATTCAACAGGATCTAACACAGGCCTTAGCATTTCATTGAAGAAATACGCTAACTATAACCAACGGCATCAGGTTTAGACCGTTTAAATGCACACATCTTAGAACTGCATCAACTGAATCTATAAGAACCTTCGATCAGAACTAGTCAGAAATGAGGACAAAGCGTATGTCATCAAGTCCTTGGATAGGACTTTAATTAGAACACAGACTTCAGAGAGGGAAAGATTTTTCGAGGTATTTAGGGACTTGCCCAAGGTTACACGTCACCTATTGAGGGCAAAGCTGAACACAGAGTCAGGCTCTCCAGACTCCTCCCTCCAGAGCACCTGCTACCCACTGCTCTCCACTTCTTTCCTTAAATTCATCTAGAAGCTACTTTAGCAAGGCCCCAATTATTCACTCTTAATTCATTCACTGAAAATGAGTCGAATGCTTACTGTATGTCTGACAGTCTTCTATGAAAGTGCCTTTCAGAACTTCACTTTTAGCAGAGGTGACAGAAAATTAATTATTAATGAAAAGTAATAAGGAAGATCTCACAAAGATTGTGCCTAATGTAGCAGGGATTTAAGTTTTTCATTAATAGGAAATTATGATCATGGTTACGCCTTTATACATAGAAAATGTAACTGGAGTGAAACATGAAAGTCCCAATACCTGATGAACCTGTCTTCCTCCATTCCAGGTGCTTAACTGCTCCCAAAGATTGGAAGACACTAAAAATACTTAGGCTCTTGTCTGCTCTGGGGCTTCTCTGCCTTTTTGAATTAAAGGAGTTAGGGAGAGAAATTACATCATAGAACATGAAATGCCTCAGATGAGCTGGAACCAAACTTCCCCTGTGATTAGATTTACTATGCTTTAAAACCCCAAAGAGGAGAAAGGTTCGCAAACAGACAAACAAACAAACACCTAATAACACCACCTCCCTCAACACACACATACACACAACCACCCATTTTCACTTTATAGTTAATGATATCATGCTCACTCTGACAGCACATAGACTAAAATGGGAACCATACAGAAAAGATTAGCATGGCCCCTGAGCAAGGACGACACGCAAATCTGTAAAGAGAATATTCAAAAATAACAGTCATATCAACAACTCCTAAGGAGAGGTAAATACTACTTGGAGATACTGTTGTGTGTACATAGCATCCTTTAGGAAACTATACAGTAATTTCAATTGATGTGAGCAAGCTCCAACACCAAAGGAAACAAGCAAAGGAAAAAGGCGAAAGAGGTCCAGTTCAAATTCCGAGTAAGGGTAGAGGTGAGAGGTTTACTGCCTGCCCCATAACTACCTCATGGAGGACAGGTGAGCGACCCAGGAACCAAGAAGCAGTCAAACTCAACATTGGAAGATCAGGATCCCAGAGGCAAAGACTTGCCTTCTTCCTATGGAACTAAAGTCATTGAGGCTAGCAGGGCAAATACTTTATTCAGAACTGGTTAACAGCAATTTTAGAACTTACAGAGAAACAAATCTTTTTTCAGCTCCAAATCCAAAGACAATCCCTTGGATACAAGTTCTTAAATTTGCTAAGCACAAGATTTTTATTTATAAAACAGAAGTAATATTCATAACACCTGCCTCACAGGTGTAGCACACGTAATTTAATATGTAGCTCCTTAACATGGTTCCTGGTACAGGAGTCAGTAACTTGTACCTTTTTTAGTTGCATCAGTACCAAAAATAAAAGAGATTCCCCGGTGGGGAACTGAATCATCCAAACTTCTTGAGAGCCACTCTGGGAAGGGCTTCTGAAAACTTCACCAGGCAGATTTCTTCCTTAAGAATAACTGTGATGTAAGAGATAACAGTTTCCGTGTACATAAATCTAGGCCATGGAAGTGCCTTTCTGACATCAAACTTTTTGTTTAAAGCAGCAGAAGCAAAATTTGGTGGGGGGAGTTTTCATTATTTCAACTTATGAATATAAAGGAAGATGTTAATAATACTTTTCATCTCTCACTGTTTTAAATTTGCTAATTCAAATTAGTATGAAATATAACTGCACTTTTTATTCAGAAGCCACTTAGTAGCAAACAGAGGCTATTATAAGAAATGAGGCAGAAGACAGTATATTATAGTAGCTCAAGATATATACTTCAAGTGAAGAGAAAACAGTAGGAACTGTAAAACCTGGAACACTCAAAAATTAAGTTATTGAAATTTCTTTTACAGTTGTGTAACCTATAAAAAGATAAAATTTTATCTGCAAAGAAACCTGCAGAGGTGCCTGGTGAAAAAACTACCCTTCTTCCCCCACTCCTAACACACTTCCTGTTATGGGAAGGGAGAATACAGAAGCTTGTCTGAAGCCCCCTAGCAACTGCCTAGGCAAAGGCCAAATTCTTTTTTTTTTTTTTTTAAATTATTCATTTATTCACATGTGCATACATTGGGTCATTTCTTCCTCCTGTCCCCCCCTCCCACCCTGTCCCCCCTTCCTCCCTCAGTTCCAGGCAGGTCCTTTTCTGCCTGTATGACTAATTTTGGTGAAGAACAGAGACAAGCATAATAAGGAAGACAAAGTATTTTTGCTAGTTAAGGACAGCTATCCAGAAATATTCCTAGCATCGCTTTCGTGTACATGTGTTATGACCCATGTTGATTCACCTCTAACTGAATTTTACCCTGGTTTCCGATCCCCTTCTCATGATAGACTCTGTTGCTTTAAGACTTCTGTATTAGCTCCACAAGTCAAATTTCTAATGAAGATTTACAGGTGTGCCTGCAAGATGTGGATTCAGGCACTAAGGCTTCTGCCTTGTGGAGATGGACACCTGGTGACCTTGACTGCAGGTTCCATACTTAAAGCGAGATCTATAATCACATCCTTATCCAGTGATCACCGTGGGGCCGTAAGATTTTTGAAAACCAGAAATTTCTTCCAAATGAAATTTTAATATTTGCGGTTCTCCTACTTCTTTGTTCCTTCCTCTCTCTAGTCTTCCTTCATCTAGCAACTAGTTTACATATTCATAAACAGTAGGCATTTAACGGTTTCTCAGTTGACCAGACAAAAAAGTCATCCTGTCAGTAGTTAATAAAGAAATGTATTTTCAGTCTGTCCTGTGTACTATTACTGTACTAATCTCTGAAGAAAACACAGTTGATAAATATGTGTCCCACTCCTAAGGCAAATATAATACAATACAATTGTTCAAGGCTATGCATTTTTTTATACTAAAAGCATATGGTAGTTATGGTAGAAATAGAGAAGAGAGCAAGCTGGTGTTTAAAGGAAAACTTCAAAATAACTTCCGTTTAAAAAATGATGTGGATTTCCTTAGACTAAAAAAGGGGAGGGTATTTCAGTTTAATAAAATAGTATGCTAAAGGCATTGGGAGGATATACAGAGGTTTCATAGTTCAAGTAGTGAAATGGAGCAACAGTGTGTAAGGGCAAGTTTTGAGAGGTGAGTTTGAGAAGGTGCACTGGCAGGCTGAAAATGAAATAATTTTTATGTTAAATTAAAAAGCTATACATTACACAGAGACATTGGGAAATTCTTATCAGATGAATATAAATGACCTTTGCATTGTAAAGCTAAACAAACACAGATGGAAAATGGATTGGTAAATGTAAATAAGGGCTCCAATGCTAGTTTCAGAAAATAAGTTGATTTCAAGTCATTATTTTTTGAACTAAGACACCAGAAGCAGGAACGATAAAAGAGAATGGACTTAAAGATTTAAGGACAACAGATGGTATTTGAAAACTGCATGTGATGGCAGCAAGCAGTGGTTCAATTTTGAAATAGAGAAGGCAGGAAATATACCTTTGATGGAGATAACATGCATGGAAGGAGATAATGAGCCCTATTTGGTTATATTAGAATTGAGGCATACATGGGGCATCTTTGAGTTTCAGGCATCCAATTAGTCTCGGAGCCTATCTTTGTTAAACAAAGTTTATGGGAGGTCACTCTTTTTGTTCTGGGCACAAGCAGAACAGACCAAACCAGAATGTAGTCTTCATGCTACCTGCCACATAATCAGCTATCAAACTCTCTATGAAACAGGCCAGTTTTCAAAAAAGAAAAAAGGCCAGGAGATTGGTAGCAGTCAATCAGAGGGGCCAAATTTACCTGAGCCAGTATCATGAGAAAGTCCCATTTATTTTTACCTTAGAAGGAAAGGAACGTTGAAAGAGGAGGTTCTACGTTTCTACTTTCTTCAGACCTTTTCTACGTACACAGCCTAAATCCTCTGCTCAGCTTATGGGAGCATTCATTCTATTTTACAGAATGAGAAAGCCACCTAGATATGTAGACTGTTAAAACTGGCCTGAGGCTGCCTCCCTACCTCCAGTCTCAACATACTGCAACCAGAATTAGTACATAAGAAAGCCAAACATAGGAATACATTTTGTAACAACAAAAAAGCTAAGTGTTACCTAGTCACAGGCTGTTCAATGACTGTACAAATAAGGCAAGCTCAGAGTTGTTTCTGGATCTTACTGCTCCCTTCTGCCTCCCAAGGCACTGCAGATCTCTCTGAACTCATTCTAGTTGTGTGGGCTGCCCGTTTCTAAATCATCCTTTGTTCAAATAAACTTTGTTTAGTTTAATTTCTCAAAAGTTTTTCTTGTTATGAAACTAAATTTGTTGTAATTTTGACTTTTACTTTTTACAGAAAATACACTGACCCCTATTACAGAGGCACAACATCTATGTTAACGTATTTTTTCCCTGCATCTACTGGTAAAGTAATGATTAACATGACACTAAATAAAACTGTATTCTGTAGGCTAATGCTCATATTATAACCTATTACTACACCTTATTAATCCTTGTAATTCTTAAAAATAAGAATAGTCATTAGAACATACTTCAATTTCATAAAAAGATGTGCTATACGTAAAAACTACAAGGAGAGCAGAACAATACAATCAAATATTTATAACGGTTGACTAAAAGAATATGAAATTATTACAAGAAGAATCAGTTTAAGTGTTTCTCTTCAGATTTATGTTCAACAGGAAATACTGACATGTGCTGGAAAAAATGCTAATAGGTTAAGCCATAAAAACAAATGTACTTGGAGAATTAGCTAGGGGGTGCTTCCAAAATAATCACTGAAATACTTCAACTGAATGCTTTTTTATAGAAACTGAAATGGTTTCAGTAAATATAACATTATAAATCTCAAGATTACACAGTTGCTATTTCAAAGCCCTACAACTTGTTAAAGAAAAATGAGAATTATACTGGAATCACTATATGGTCTTCCTAAAACTTCTTTGCCTGGATTGGCCAAAAACCTTCATCCTCTGTCTCTGCCTCCTGAGTAGCTGGGATCACAGGCATGCACCACCATGCCCAGTCCTACTATTGTACTATATACTATTACTACTTACTCCTTGGAGATAATTTGGAGTAATGCTATTTACTTGATATACTATAATGTGGGGAAGGTAAAGAGGTGGAAAGGAGGGGAGGAGAGAGAGAGAGGAGAAGGAAAGAGAGACGCTGAGAGAGAGAGAAAAACAAAGAGAAAGATGACAAACTTTAGAAAGATTCAGGAGAGTAATGAATGGAATCTAAGTTTTTCAAGGAAACTAAAAATTTTAGGAGCTTAAATTCTCAAACAAAATACTTACAATTTTCAGTATTTTGAAATACTTCACAAAGTGAATTGGAAAAAATTCATCATTTTAAAGCACTACTTAAAGGGTACTGAAATCAGATCGTAAAATTAGCAACTTTAAAAAATTACTTTTCTATAAACATTTCTCTTTCAAGTTCTACTTCTTCACTCCAAACAGTCATATCACCGTTAGTTTTCTGTGTAACAGAGTCATTAGTTTGCTATCAGCCACTTCAGGAAATAGTGATTCAAAATCTAAAAATGAAATACTTTGCTTTTTAGAAAGACACATACTTCATAAAAATAACCTTAGAAAATTAAGGACTAAGTTAAATTATTGTACTAAGTCATTTTTACAAATACACATTATATTTGAAAAGTAAAATGAACTCAGTTTGGTTGACAGACGCATTAAATATTAAGGTACAGAGCATCAGGATTACTACAGAGCACTTTACTTGGCAGATGAAAAATTAGTATTACCTACTGCATGTTTAATGTCTCCATGCGGAAAGTGTGACATACCTCTTCATAGCAATTCTGGGCATATTTGGATTGCACACTCAACTCTGGCACTTTCAAATAAATTTGGTAGGCAGAGGAGGAACAAAAAAACCAAGAAGACTGAGAAAGAATTATTTAAGGTATAAAGACAGGCAAAGTCAACTGGGTCCCAATGTCAGGTCATCTAATAAAATCATAGTAACTGTGAGGGATTATTGTTTCTAACAAAATGTCTTTGATCAAAAACTCTACCTGAAACTATATAGTGCAATTCCTAGTTACAAAATTTAAACAAAACGCGCCTGGCGCTGGTGGCTCATGTCTGCAGTCCTAGCTACTCAGGAGGCAGAGATAAATGAGCATGGGGAAATAGTTCCAGAGAACCTACCTCGAAAATACCCAGCACAAAACAAAACAAAACAAAACAAAACAAAAAAAGGGGCTGGTGAATAGGCTCAAGGTGTAGGCTCTCAGTTCAAACCTACAATCAAACAAAAACAAAACTTAAAACTCAAAAAAAAAAACACTCCTCCAAACCACTAGAAATTGTTTAAAAAAATTGAAATATTTATTATGCTTCCCTTTTAGTTTACTAAAGCTGAACAATTTCAGAGACTTTAAAGTTTGTTAATGGCTTCAGGAGTTGGCTGGAATTAAGTCCATATACAAATTATAACAGCCATTTTCAAAAGTGAAAAACATGAAACTTAAATTTCCAGTAATACAAGAATAATCTGTCTACATTTGGAATAAATAGTTATCAAGGGACATATTTTTAAAGAACTGTTTAATTATCCAAAAGAGATTATAACCTAAAGTTAAGTAAAAGAAATTATGTGGCAAATAATGAACAACTTGGAGAATAAGTTTTTAAAAGCTGTCGATATTGCGATTAGACTTTTTTTGGTTTGTTTTTTACTTTTATAGGGAAAGTAATGTGCTTATCATAATCAAAAAGTAACATAACATGAATAAAAACATAATGCTGTTAATAATTTACCTGAAACTCATTCACATACTGTGTCATCACAAATTCATGTCTTTCAGCTGATAAAGGTTCTGCTAGAACATCAGGCAAAGTTTTATGAATCTGGTTTTTCTTCTGGGAAGCAGTTCCACTGAGGTGACAATCAAAACCTATGTTTCCAGGATGCTGGAATCTCTGATCCCGAGGGCCAAATAGTCCCACAGTTTCATCAGGCCACAACTGTTTGACAGCCTCAAGAGGAAGAGCAAAATTGATCATTTTCTTCTTAATAGGCAAGTGCACTGGTAGCTTGAAAGGATGCTCTTCTTACAATTACACATTTTTTAATCTAACATCTGTATCTTTGAAATCTGCTTTCTTGTGTGAATATAAATTAGTTTCATGTTGTTTCCAAAACTAGGTGTTTAAAACAACCAGTTGTTGGCTCAAGGAAAGTCCATTACTGGGGAAGTTAATACAGTACTTATAGATACACAGACTATTTGATAGTCATTAAAAAGAACGTAACAAAACTTCATAAAGTTCAGAATACAGTACATTAAAAAAAAGCAAAAAACCAAACCAAACCAAACCAAACCCTGGGCCAGGAGCAATGGCTCATGTCTGTAATCCCAGCTACTTAGGAGGTGGCGACTGGGAAGATAGCAGGCAAAAATTTCTCAAGATCCCATCTCAACCAATAGAAGTTGGGTGTAGTGGTGGTCATCTATTTCCCAGCTACGTATGAAGCATAAAAAGAAGGACCGTGATACAGGTAGGCCTGGCATAAATGTGAGACCCTATTCTAAAATAAATAAAGCAAAAAGGGCTGAGAGGGGGGTGGTTCAAGTAGTAGAACACCCGCTTAAGAACCCAAGACCCTGAATTCAAACCCTAGTAAAGCAACCACAAACCCACCTCAGAAAAGAAAAGTCAAAGAACAGCATGTATTACTGTAATTGCTTTCCAGCTTTTCTTTGTAGTCGAGGCTGGCCTCAAACTCAAAATCCTCCTGCCTCAGCCTCCCAAGTTCTGGGATTACAGACATGTACCACTGTACTCAGTACTTAAAAATATAGAACAGTCCATATTACTTTATTTAGGTAGCAATTTAAAAGTATCCTAACTTATAAAAAAAATTCAAAAAGATCCAGAGAAGAATAAAGTAGAAAATTAAACTTGTAAGTACTCAGGTATAGGTTTAGTTTAGAGAAAGCAAGGACATTACTTGACAATAAAATACTTATTTAATGTCATGCCACAGTTGAGTAACTAAAAATGGCCATGTCCACATAGTCCTCATCACTAGCTCAGTGCCACCATATTCCTCTTCTACATACAGTACCATCCATCACCCTCAGTCATGCAATTCTTTCCCACTGAACCTAGACACTGTCTCAAAATGCTCAACAAAACCCTTAGCCAATGCTTTTCAAAGGTTGAAGTACTTAGGAATCATCTGGGATCTTGTTAAACTGTAAATCCCCATTTAGTAAGTCTGCAGTTGAGGGTCAAGATTTTACATTTAGAACGAGTTCCTAGATGATTACTGATACAGAGCATGTGGGTAACAAAGGCAGTCACAATGCCAGACTGGAATGTGTCTTCAGGTGAAATCTGTGTCTGAACAAGATGAATTTAAAAAATTATTCAGGACTTGTTAGTTTTCTCTTTGGAGAAAACAAATGTTCCACATTAATAGTGGATTTCATCACATTTCACATGCTTCCTGCTCATTTCGGATTTCTCTCGTGAAAGGCCTGTTCCTATCCTGTTTGCTTTTCGGGTTTCCACTGGGCTGTCTCTTTCCTATCGGTCTATAGAATTTCCTTATATTCAGAATACTGACCCCTTACATACTCTGGAGGGCAAATGTTTCACTTACGATAAATGGTTAGTATTCAGGTGATATAAGTAGGGGAATAAGTTGAAGACGCTGTTATAAAAGAAAAGCGGGGAAGATGGAAGGCTTTGAATATTCAAGTGAGATTAAATTTCTTTGTTAGTAGTATTTTCAAGCAAAAAGGATTCCATGTGCAATACCTTTGGGAAGTGTTAGGTGAAATTTCTAACAGTCCTTAATATTTTGGTATGCATTATAAACTTCCCAGATAGGAGTATGGCCTGGCACGTAGCATGTCTCAAACGTACATAATCTCTCCTTCCTTTTCTTAAATAACCATGAGTAATGACTTAGATTGAGGACAGTTGGGAATTGCTGCTGAAAGCAATGAGAGCTAGTCAAAATTTAAAAACTGACATGATTAAATATTTTAGAATGACGAGCATGATACTGATGTGCAAAATGGATTAGAAACAGCACTTTGTAGATAGCAGGTAAATCATCAACTTAAATACATATTATACTTACAAAGTACCTGCTACATTTAAGAAATTTAGAAAAGCCAGGTGTGGTGATAATGCCTGTAATCTCAGCTACTCAGGAGGTGGAGACTGGGAGGACTGTGGCTTGAGACAGCCTGTGGCAAAAAAGTTAGGGAGATCCATCTCAACGGACAAGCTGAGCATGGTGGTATATGTCCCAGCTGCATATCCCAGCTATGCAGGAGGATCACTGGCTGAGGAGGCCAGTCCTGGACAAAAACTTGAGACTCTATCTGGAAAAATAACTAAAGCAAGAAGAGCTGGAGGCATGGCTCAAGTGCTAAAGCACCAGCCTAGCAAGTAAGGAGCCCTGAGTTTAAACCAAAGTACCACTATCACCACCAACAAAAAGCAGTAACGGGGATTAATAGGATCAAGAAGAGATTTGATTTGTTTCAGGTTGCACTGTGTGTAAGCGGGGACAGAAAGAACCAAAAGTTCAGAAATGAGAATGAAAACCAGGAAGACAGATGGTCCCCAACTTACGGTGGCTTGACTTAAGACTTTTTGACTTTATGATAGTGTGAAAGAAATACTCACCAAATTTTGATCTTTTCCCCAGTAGGCACATGCTATATAATAATCTCCCTTGAGGCTGGGCAGCGACTTACAATTCTAATCCAGCCATGTGATGTAATTCCATCATAAATCAAGGAGCATTTTTTAAAACATTATAACTTTCTGCTATAAATATTGAGAAAGAGCTGACTTATTTTCAATGGACCAAACACAACTTCAAACAAATCTGTAAAACCCCTGTAAGAGCCGTAAGAGGAAACACAACCCAACTCAGAATGTTTTGAAGCAATTGTAAGTAAAATAATAACTTTTACATATATGTACCTGGAGTTAAAGTAGCCACGTGAGCTTCATTAGAACCTGAAGATCCTACAGCTGAAAAGCATTTTGGACTGACCACTCTTTTAACTAAAGAGCAGTATCATGGGAGATAGCAAACCAGGCCGGCTCTTTAATAAAGCGCCTAAAAGTAACAGAGAAAAAGAAAAAAAAAATAAGATCTATTCTGGAAAAGTTAGCACCTCTGGCAAATCTTCACATCGTGGTGTCTTTAAAAGTCAACATTTATTCTACCTGTATTGAGCACGTATTATGTGACAAGCACAATGTATGTTTATAATTTTAAAAATAAGCACTATGAAAATTGTCAGAATCAAAATAGTCACTTATGTCAAACCTTGACATGGAGCCACAAGGCCATGGTGAGGGAGTCTTCATGCATATTTGCCTGGTAATAGGAACTGTAACAAAGGACTGCCAAAACAAAAGCCTGGCACAAAGGCCTCTGGAATGTTACACACACACAAAAAAAAACACTTCCATGAGGATGCCTACCTAGCAGCCATGTGTTCAGGCTTAGACTGATGGCACTCTGTTATTGATCCTTGTGGTTAAGGACTACTGTTTCAAAATAACTTAGGTAACTTTCCTCATTTTAATTTTAAAAACCTTTGCCTTCCTTTGTCTCTCTGATTGTGCCTATGGACTTATCAACCACTGTCTCCTTTCTGGATAAACTCTTTTCATAAGGAAACCTTTTTCTTTACCATTTCTTTTAGGTTGACAACATAAATATTTCAAGAAACAAGTTAATTTGGGTAAAAGTTTGTCTTCTCAGTAAAAGACAGAATTCAAGAACACCACATAACAGAAAGAGAACTGTTTCAAAGTTGCACTTTTTAATGAAACACTAAAAAGCTAGCACAGCTAGTAAGATTCGGCATCCTTAAAACAGAGAAGTTGGAAAACATCTTGGACCACAATCTGTTTACTTTCTAATCCATTTCTTCTTTTACTACAATATATTATGACAATTGTCTCCTATGCTATGATTTCCGCTTGGTTTGATGGCAACATTCACTTTCCTTCATTTCAGCCCATACTTTTCCCGTACTTTTCTTTTTTAATCTTATGTTCATTTTCTAGACTTGTAACATCAGTTAGAAATGGATAAATACGAACAGGTGTACATGAAAGCAGTGCTAGGAATATTTCTGTACAGCTATCCTTAACTCAACCAGCAAAAACACTGACTTCCTTATTATGCTTGTCTCTTCTCTTCAAGAAAATTAGTGATAAAAGCAGAACAGGACCTGCCTGGAACTGAAGGGGGGGAGGGTGGAGAGGGTAGGAAGGGGGCAAGGGGGAGAAATGACCCAAACAATATACGCACATAAGAATAAATGAATAAAAAAATGGATGAATACGTAAGTAGTATTCATGGATAAACTTTCACTACAATACTTGAGTTAGAGTAAGGTAAAGCACAAGACAGCACATCATTTCTCAATATAGCCCGTTGCTTCAGTAAGTAAGGTTTTATTGCAACACAGCTACATTCATTCATTATGTACTGCATATGACTGCTTTCATAACATAATGGTAGCGTTATGTAGGTTTAGAACGTCTTCATCCACAGAGCTTAAAATATTTACTGTCTTGCTGTTTAGATAAACCAAACCAAAAGAAAAACCCCAACAGGTCTCAGTTTAGGGAAAGTCAGACAACTCCACATACATATTAAGAATCGTAAATGTCCACGCTTCAGAACGTAGACCAACTGAAATATGTCTTTCTGATATAAAAGCAGTAGTCTTCTTTCAGCTACAGTGATTTCTTGCTAACTAATGCCATTTGGATTTGTGAGTCTATTGTTGCCATAGCTTCTGAGATTTAAGGAGAAAAAGATTATGTGTGTCATCAATGATAGGTATCATACCATCTGAGAAATTTTACTAAAAAATTACTTTGAGGAGAAAATATAGTCATAAAATATATTCCAAAGCATGAGAAGTTTAGTTTGTCTAGATTCTAAAACATGGACATTTATGACTCTTAATATGTACCCCAAATTGTTCAAGACACATTATCTAGTTCAATTAATACGCAAATTTAAGTATACTGCAATACTAAAATATAACACGAACTACATTCCAAAATAATTTGTAAAAGTATCTTCTAACACATCACTGTACTGGACCCATTTTTTAATTTAGATCAAAGAAAATCAGCTCAAATATTAGCATTCCATTAGAGTTCAATTAAATTTCCCTCCTTTAGGAGTACCACATGCTTCTTTTGTAACACCCCTTTCCTGTGCCGCTAATAGCCAAGTAAAAACTCATCGTAAAATCTGGCCTAATCTTACTAGTACCCTACTCTTAGGACGTGTGTATGTAATTACACCTTTAGCCTCTTTGCAATTACAGGATACCTACCACTCTGCTAACTGTTGCCACATTAATCTTCCTGACACAAGGCTCAGATTAAGTCATCACGATTTAAAGAAAAAGTCTAAATCATTAGCTTGGCATTCAAGGCTCCCTGCTAGTTGGTTCTCACCTCGCAATCCCATCTTGTCTTCCACTAATCTTTCACATATCTTACCGTATGTGTGTGAAGCCTGAGAGTTTATTGGGATAGAAAACCGCCAGGATTAGAGCTTCCAGAGTTGGGAGGGGGTCCCAAGAGAGGGTGCCCAATACCTAAATTGTGATGGGGAGGGGAGTTCATTCCGTATCTCCCAACCCATGTCTTTAATGACCTAAACCCCACTCATCTTCCAAAAGCATTAAAGGCAGTTACAGACTTTTCCGATTAAGTGATTCCCAAACTGCCACTTTCCTTTCTGCCTGGCGCACAAAGATCACACTCTACATTGTGCCATTTGCTAGAGCTCCGCTTCTCTTGTCCCTCTACGCCCTAGTGCAACGGCAGACGGACTTACCTTGGCCATTTCCGGAGGAGCGGACAGACGCACACTCGTTCTCCGTGTGAAGGATTCCTGCGGAAAGAGAAACCACACGGCTGGTGACCTACGCTGCGGCCCTCCCGCCGCCCCCGGTCACGCAGGGGTCTCCACACCCGCCAGGGCTGTTAGGCGACGGCCGCGCGAAGTTCGGGCTCAGGTGAGGGGCGAGACGCGGACAAGCGCCCGAAGATGAACTCAGGACGGCGGGGCCCGTGGGAACAGGGACACTACCGCGAGCTGTGGCCCGAAGACGAGTGAATGTGGAGGGGCTACCGGGGCCGAAACCGTGCGCGTTCCAGTCGCCGCCGCCGCCCCGGGCCTCGTCCCACCGCCGCCGCCCCAGTCCTCGCCGCCGCCCCCGCCGCCCCCGTCCTCGCCGCCGCCGCCGCCCGGACCTCGCCGTCGCCCCCGTCCTCACCGCCGCCGCCCCGGTCCTCGCCGCCGCCGCCGCCGCCGCCGCCACCCCTGGCCTCGCCGCCGCCGCCACCCCCGGCCTCGCCACCGCCGCCCCGCCGCCCCGGTCCTCGCCGCCGACGCCCCCGTCCTCGCCGCCGCCGCCGCCGCCGTCCTCACCGCCGCCGCCCCGGTCATCGCCGCCGACGCCCCCGTCCTCACCGCCGCCGCCCCGGTCATCGCCGCCGACGCCATCCTCGCCGCCGCCCACGTCCTGGCCGCCGCCGCCTCAGCCACCGCCGTCTTCGCCGTCGTCGCCCCGGTCCTCGCCGCCGACGCCGTCTACGCCGCCGCCGCCTCAGCCACCGTCGTCCTCGCCGCTGCCGCCTCAGCCACCGCCGTCCTCGCCGTCGTCGCCCCGGTCCTCGCCGCCGATGCCGTCCTCGCCGCCGCCGCCCACGTCCAAGCCATCGTCCTCGCCGCCTCCGCCCCGGTCCTCGTCGACGTCGACGCCGCCGCCACCCTCGTCCTCGCCGACGCCGCCGCCCACCTGACTGTTCACGCCCGCAAGATGGCGGCGGCGGAAGCCGCAGATGAGCGTTGGCTCGGCCGCCTCCAGACCGAAGAGGTTGCTCCCGAGCGCATCGATGCACGGAGGGAGCGCCGGCCGTGGATGCGCACGCATCTCAGGTACGTCTCGCGAGACGTCCTTGGATTGGCTAGGCCCGTATGGGGGTGGACCACTGGTGGGGGGACCAACTTGGGATGGGGGCGGGCTCCTGAGTTGGAGTAGGCGGGGCCTTTCATTCGGATAATTGACTCATTGATTCATTTGACAGATCTGTCTCCCGAAGCCTTCTTACTGCCTCCAGAAGACACAGTCTTTGTTCTTTGTTTGATGGTTGTTTAGTTTTCATGAATCATTGCGTTTGAGCATAGGGCACTTGTCTTTTTCTCTTTTTGTTCTCAGCGCTAGCCTCTCAATAGGCTTAGTTAATATAGCTGCCGCCTTATTTAGAAATAGCGTATTATTTTAATTCATCTAATATGCTTTTAAAATAGTAACTAAAGATTATACTTCGTTCACAATTCTTTAGTTTTTTATCTAATGTCCTTTCAGTTCCAGGATTCAGAATACCAGTCACATTTAGTCCCCATATGTCGTAAGCCTGTTACTATGTGCAGCCCAAATGATAGGAGTCCAAAGTTATGCTCCACCTCTTCCAGGGCAGAGATTCTTCACAGTTTAGTTGAAGTTCTACAAGGGAGATTTGTCTGTTCTCCATCATGTGTATTCGGCTCTTTATATTAATGTGGACTCGTGGATATTAATTTTACATTTGGGTCACAATCTAATACTACATTTTTGTTCAAAATGTTACAGTTTTGATAATTAGGATTTCTTTTACTTGGTATCTGTGCCTTTTTGACACACTGGCATAATTTTTTTTTTTTTTTTTGTATTTTCTTTTCCTTGAGCATTTCCTTCATTTCTGACACTACAAGATGCCCTAGGATCATCTTGTATTTTGCCTGCCCCAGTCCTGGAATCAGTCATTTCCCAAGGAGTCATGAGTGAGAAACTACTCCACCCATCTGTACCCATGTACTTTCTTGATCAATTCCAGTTTACATGTACAGTGAGTTCAGAACTGTTAATCTATATTCAGTGTACGTGTATGGTGGATACAAAATTTTTACCAGTTACACCTTTGGGAAATAGATTTACCAACTAAAGCACAATGCTTTGTGTAGTGCTTTTGTTTTAGCCTTATAGACTCCACTCATTTCCAGAATTACTCAGGTCAGCAACCCCACTCCCTTCGATGAGATTGTTTCATACGTTTATAATATAACTGAGTGTCTTTTCTCATAGTTCTATCATGAGATTCTTTAAGCTTTTAAGATTTCTTAAAAAGTCTTCATCTTAAAGATGAAATTCTCCTTGTACACAATGTCATATATGCTCCATTATTACGATGTCCTTTGGAATACTTTTGCCTTTCTAAACAAAATCCCCTTTGCTTCCCCTATTAAACCTTCTCATCCCCACCCTGCAAGCACCCAACAACCACTGATGTATTAACTCTCTCTGCAGTTTTGACTGTTCCAGAATGTTGTACAAATGGAATCATACGATATGAAACATTGCAAGACTGATTTGTTTTGTTTATAATTCTCACTGTTTTGGCTTCATGAAGCTCAGTCCTGTCTTTCTTAACCCTGACTAATATCCTAACTTAATCCTGACTAATATGGATGTTTCCCTATTTGCTTTTTTGTGTACTGGGGTTTGAATATAGGGCCTTCATCTTGAGCAACTCCACCAGTCCTATTTTTGTGATGGGTTTTTTTGAAATAAGGTCACTTGAAATGTTTGCTGGGGCTGGGTTCGAACTGTTATCCTCCTGATCTCTGCCTCCTGAGTAGCTAGGATTACAGGTGTGACCACCAGCACATGGCAGTGTTTTATTTTCATTTATTAAAGACATTTCAGTTTCTTGTAGTTTTTGATGATTGTGTACAGGTTTTTCTGTGGACATGAGAATACCTAGGAACACAATTACTGGCATATGTATTTTTATAAGATATTTGAAAACAAAACAGTTCTGCTAGATATCTTGAGCATTGTCCCTACAATCATATAAATAGTAAATGCAAGGAATCCTCTTCTGTGTTGGTAACCTAGAGCCAACTTCATTCTACCCCTGTCCAATGACTATAATTAGTAATTTCTAAATTTATGCTTTTACAAACGATATGCTGTCTGACACCCCTGCAGCTGTTCAAATCAGTGCATACTCAATCCCAGATAAAGAACAACATCCTACTGTCTTAGCTAAGGAAATGCAGGGAAGGACATTCTGACTTTCCTGGGAAATGCCATCTGATGTCTTAAAACCCCTCACTTTCAGGAAATTATCACTGCCCCAGACTCCTTATGCTACATGTTTAATTTTTTTTCTTTTCCTTTTCACTGTTGGTCAATATTGGGATGGAAAACAAAAATTCTTAACTTCAAATTGTGTGTTTTTTAAACTGTTGCTATTTAAAACTGAGAATGTATAACTGTAAAAATAGGCCAGTGACTAATGTCATTAGCCTACACTGAGATTTGAAGTCAAAGGAGAACTGCTTATTTTCTCAGAAGAAATATAACAGGTATTTAAATGCCTTTTACTGAAAAGCACTGACTCCTCACTTGGGCCTATGAATTAACTTCAAACAGAAAAAAGTTTGGCATCTCTGTCTCCATTTTGTACCTATCGTCCTTTGATCTAAGCCATTCTCTCTTCTACCCACCTTGGAATCAAGGAAAGGCAGGAATGATCAATAACATCTTCATGACAAGCGACTGAAGCTTTCTGTAAGAACTAGTGGAGGATTGTAGGACAGACCACCCCTCCAAATGAGGACAATTACCTAGAATGATAAGGCCTCAAACTGGAGTAGGAATCCATGTCTTGGGAACCACATTGCTCCCGTCAAGTGATGACAGTGACAGTAACTCCTCTGGAACCCTTTTCTGAATCCTCAGACTGAAATAATTACTAACCAGATCACACTTGTGACTGTGTTGTCCTGGTTGAGAATTCTGATCAGAAGATATCCAGCTCTTGTGTTATGGAATGTTTGAATCCAAGCAGAGCACATGGATATAGTGAGGAAATAACCAAGTTTATTATAGCTGAAGGGAGAAGGTAATTACAGGTATGGTCTCTGCCAGGTGGAATGGAGGAGCTGTGCACAATTTGAAAAGAGAGCAATTTTTGTTTTAAGACATTTTAAATACCATCCTCAACTTGAAAAACCCGTGCTGTTCCTGTTCTGCAATGGCCTTTGCTGTTGTGGGGAGTGGGAGAATTTGTGCTGACTTGCACACACATTTGTGCTAATTTTCAGGTACATTAAGTCCATATGGGAGGAAGTTTCCACAATTCTCTCCTATAGCTCTGCAGTTAATGAAGAATTTGCAATTGAAAAGGAGCATCTTTTCAAGTTCAGGTTAGAGCTGAGACGCTCTGACTTAAGCTATATAGGTTTAAGAGTCTTGATCTTTCCCTAATTTCTGTTTGCCTCAACTAGGACTATTCAGCTATGCACACTTTTTGTCCCCTGCCCCCAAGTTCTTTTGTCTACTTAAACCTGTAGCTCATGTTTGTACTCTGAAGATCGCTGAAGATGGGCTGAATGCTCACTTTGCCTCTTCCCATTGAATATCCTGAGCCATGTAATCAGTTTTCTTTCTCTGCCTGCATTTTGCCTCCTTATTTGGTGCATAGGCATGGCATGTGGAATCCCAGGAATTTTGGTCTTGGGTCCAAAACTCTGGTTTCAGAACACTGGATATGAAGCAAGACAGTTAAGGAACAGGTGGGAACTGTCCTTCTCTGTTGGGACTTCCAGTGCCCAGTCAAAGTCTAGATGTCCAGCTTCGGGGCTGGAACATTCAGGAACGCTCCAAAGAAGTTGGTGATTTGAGGCTTTTGCATTGCAAGCATGAGTAATATGAAAGGAAATTCTCTATTTAAGAAGAGAATTGTATCTTTTCAATTTGTCTAAGGGTTACCAGTTTGAACACCTCAGCTACCTCCCATAGGTGTATAGTTATAGACTGATACCACAGGGATTGGGTTAGGTTCTTGAACTGATTATTTCTAGTTGGTTCATGTTGGGCAGATCACTTAGTCTTTTACGCTTAATTTTTCTCACTTCTCTCAGAGTTTTTGGATGAGTTAATATAGTTAATACATAGCCAGCCTAGTTCAGAGACGAGAGAGAGAGAGAGAGAGAGAGAGAGAGAGAGAGCGAGAGAGAGAACACTTGCAGTAGGCTAGAGCACAAAAGGCTTCAGAGAAGAGATCACTAATTTGA